AGTTGTTGACTGCCTCTGTCTGCCTTCTGTGGCTCTTCCTCCACTGCCTCTCTGCTGGGGCTCCTCTTCAACTGTGTTCAAGTCAGTCTGCACCCATCCCCTGTGCTAAAGGTTCTGTGCTGTTTTGTTGCACCAAACTGGGTCTCACACACAGTTCAAATCAGAGGAAGACCCCAAAAAACAGTGTTCTATTCCCCGAAACCTAAACTAAGGTTTTGTGCCACGCTCTCCCCTCAAACTTCGGCTTTGTGCCCCATTGTTAAGGGGGAACGGACATTTCAAATTGGGGCATTCTGCCTCTCCCCTCCTCCAGAAAGTGGGACGCTATGAAAGGCCCCCTTTTCACAGTGAGAATGGATTTACTTTGTAGAGCAGAGTCAAGTGCGTGCCAATCTACTGTACTGGGTTTCTAAATTCATATTTGCTACTTTTTCCCCATTGGATGGAAAAGGTGGAGAGAGCCCCTTAGAAACTCTGGGAGCACCCGAGGAAATAGCAGGAGCTAAGAAGAACCACAGCTTGCCACTTCCCTTCTTTTCTCCTTGTCAGAATTCCAGACAAGTAATTTTCCATCTTCAGTTATTTTTTCCCAAGCACAGAGGTTTATATCTGCTGCTTGACATGACATTTGTTATCCACCCACCAACCTTCCCAGAGGTATCTCTTCTGTCCCGGTAAATGATCGCAGGCGAAGGAACAGCTTCTGGTTCTGCCCTCCAGAATTAACCTTGTGTTACTACACATGTACTTGCAGGTACAGTAACTACACAGCAACACAACTCTGATAACTCCATGAACTTGACGTTGATTTTCTCCTTTCCCTTAGAATCCCACACTGAAAAGTGTGGGATTTTCTTCTGGTGAGATTCAAAGGATCTCATCTTAATACCCTTCTGCAGACTTCTGTGGGCTGGTGATTAAATTGGTTTACGCTTTCTTGCAAAGCCTGAAGCTGTATTTTGGCCCATTTGTCCTTCAGCACATACAGTTAAACATGCCTACTCATCACAAATTCCCTTTTGGGATAAGTAACATGCAAAGTGCAGAAAGAGTAAGAAGTGAGAGCAAAAGGAATTAATGGTAGAAGAAAACAAACAAGAAAATCGAGTTAAATTTGGTTTAGGCCAACACCATTCACTCTACTTCTCTATACTTTTCTATCCTTACAGAGTGTTTTCTGTCCTTACGAGTGCTTCCACCACATTCATAAACCACTTCATACATTCCCCTTTGTTCTTTAAATTTCTCCCTTCTGTGTTTCTGAGGATCTTCTGAACACCATCCAAGTACAATTTTCTCTGTCTTCTTCCTCCTGTTGAGCAATTCACTGTTTCTTCATATTTGTGCTGTGATGCTCAGTAATTGTCTCCATGAGACAATTGTCTCCATGACCAGACCACCTCAATACCCTTCTTTTGTCCTGGTCACATTTGTACTCCATCCACATTAATTCATCATCCATTCATTCTTGACCCCAATTTTTCTTGTTTTGCTCCATTTCCACTGCAAGCAACTTACTTTTGTCTCTCCTCATACACCCAATTCTCCTTTCCATATAAAAAAGTGGGCAGAAGTACACTCTTAGGCACAATCTTTTTCTGTCTTCTGCCAAACAAACATTCCTCACAACAGATCACATACCATCTGCTAAATTTCTACCAGCAGGTCTTAAAATTTTTCCATTCCTTTTTCCAAATGTAGCAAATATTCTACCATGGAACAGAAATTAATTTTCTTGCTCTAGTTTTTCCACCAATTATGTAAACTTTCCAGTTAGTCACAAGAATTTTGTTTCCCAACCATGGTCTTGTGGTGATGGTGGGGGTGATGATAACTAGGTTTACTCCTCTCTGAAGAAAAATCTTGCACCCTTGAGTTCTAAGATCTAAAATTAAGAAGCACTGGATTGAGAGAGACTTTCAGTCAGACTGACTAAAGGCCTGTTACCATTATTGTTTGTCTGTTTGCTTGTACTTTTAAGGTTCTCTTAGTACTGGGATCCCATCACTCTGCAAAGCACCTGTAGTACCAGTGCTATAGGGATATCCCACACTTCAGGAATGAAGCTGAGAAAGTCTGGAAGCACGTGCTGCACCTGTTGATGCCTCCTTCATGGATGTCTGTCTTGCACAGTAGCCAGGAAGAGAGACAGCTTCCCTGAGGAGGTGCCAGGAAGGGCGGCTTGCAGGCCTAATCCTGCTCTGAAGCGTCTTCTTGGGTTCAGATGCAAAGTTCATCGCATTCATAAGTACTGTTATTAATCTGATTAGCAAAGAGCACAACGAAAACAAAAAGAAAATAACAAACTTGAATACATAAAACATTTTATGTAAAGTAAGTCTGTTACTGGCACTGAAGAAATTGATTGTAGCTGAATTATAAATAAAAATGTATTTCTATACTGATGTCCCCCTAGGAGACCATTGTAAAAGTTGCTCAGACAACTGCATTTTCTTTTTCTTTTAAAACACACTCAAAACAAAGGTAAGGAAACCTTGCCAGGCCCCTGCAATTTTCTAGGCAGCATTTTCAGGTGTGTTTTGCCCCGGGGCTGAGAGGAAAGAGGTGGCCCAAGGTCACCCGTATGGCTTCATGCCCAAGGCAGATCTAGAACTATGGCTGCCCTGCTTGACCTTAACTGCTTGAGCAAACTGACTCTTGTGGCCTTTGTCCATTTACTCAGCATCAAAATGTTGACATGCACGCGACTGAATGAGGTACAAAGTTTCAGCTGGGTGGAACAAAGCATTAGGAGGTGGTGCAAAATTTTGGCCCAGGTTTGGGCTCCTGACAGGATGTGGGCAGCTCCCCTGGAAGGGTGTACCCGGTCCCAGCTTGGAAGAGCAGATGGTGCAGCCTTGTCAGGAAGACAACGATTTGTCGCAAGCATCTTGCTTCTCGCTCTCCATGATGTGCAGTGTTCAGGCAAGCGGAGTCCATCTTTGGGAGTGTCAGGACCCAAGACCCATCATCCATCTCCACTCAGTCATTTTTCTGCCTCTTCCCAGGCCAAAATGGATGATGAAGTCCTTGGCTACAAGGATTTGGCAGCAATCCCCAGGGACAAGGCAATCCTGGACATCGAGCGCCCTGACCTGATGATCTACGAGCCCCACTTCACCTACTCCCTCCTCGACCGAGAGGTGAGGCCTGTGGGAGGAGAAGCGGGGCCAGCATTGGAAAGGGAAGCCTCCTTCAAGCTGGGCTGGACGCCAGACGCCTTAGGGACACGCCTGTGTAGCTTTCTGGGCTGAAGTCATCTGGCCATCCGTCCTGTTGGGGGGAGTGGAGGACGGCCAGGCCCAGGAAGACCACAAGGGACCCTGCCTGCTTTGCTTTGGTTGAGGAAGGTGGTGAATCAGGCTGCTTCACTGCTGGTGCACTTGTTGGGGGATGCTTACAAACAAATTTCCCCCAACTGTTATGCCATCGTTGCAATAACTGTGACGGGTGTTAGGCTGAGTCACATTAGGTCAAGTAACGTCCTTCTCTCCCGGCTGTTTTTCTTGCAGCCCTCGCTCTCGCCCACGTCCCTCTCTCCTCCCCCATCTCCAGAAGTAAGTGCTCCTCTGACGGGGTGGTTGGACTGGCAGGGGGTCAGCTGCATGGGGGGCCCTCAGATGGGTTGGGTTAGGGCCATGGGCTTCTTCTCCCTTGGCAAGAAAGCTTTAAAGGACAGAGTGGCTCTCGGAAGGAGGGAAGGGAAGCTCTGGGTAGATGGCTGAGGGGCAGGCAGGGCAAGAGGGAGAGGAAGAATTGTGTGCATCTGGTGATTCGCCTTCTGCTTCCAGGTCAGCCGCGGCTGGGCGGAGGCCAAGTCTCCGGGAAGCACTGCACAGGCCTCTGGACGCCGTCCCAGCAGCAGAAGCCGCTCTGGAGTCCAGCACTTCCACCATCCTGGTACTGCCTCCTGCAGGGCCAGCGGTGCCCTCCCTATCCCTCTGGCCAGGGTCTCCAAGGGCTGAAGCGTCTCTGTAGGGCATCTTCTAGCAGCAGCAGCTTCATCCTCACTCTCTTCCAAGAACTCGTCCATGTGCCCAGCAGCCTTTCCTGGCCTAGAACTGCGCAGAGGCTCAGCGATTTGTTTCCCTGAAGTTTGGGGCTAGTTCTGATGGGTGGGAATATTTAAGGGGCACATGGGCCATCCAATTGCCGCTTAAGCTCCCCCCCCCAGCCCAAACATTTTGGCTTTCCCACTCTAGAGGTTTGCAGGTGGTCGGACAGGCACCAGAGAGGTACTGGGAGGAGAGAGGTAGGCAACCTCTCACTACTGGTTTTATTCCAGCCTCTGGGTCAGCAAGGTGGTAGCTGGGCCACTAGAACGCAAGTTCCCAAAGAAGAAGGTGCAGTTACTCTGCAAATACTCCATCAAGGGAGGAAGAAGGAGGCCCATGGAAGAGGGAACAGGGTGGATCTGCGTGTCATCTTTGCCTCACCTATCTCTGCTCCTTCCCCCAGAGACCAACACAATGGAGATGAACATCTACAAGAAGCCACCCATCTACAAGCAAAGGGGTAGGTGCTGCTGCTATGAGAGGCATGGTGGTGGGAGCATTATCTGGGACTAAGGCTGACAGATGAGCATGATTGTTGGACCTCTTCCAGAGGCTGTGATGGCACCAACTCCCGAGAGCAAACGGCTGGTTGAGGGCCTGATCATTGAATCCTCCAAATTCCCTGCTGCTCAGCCGCCAGATCCCAATCAGCCGGCCAAGATTGAGACCGACTACTGGCCCTGCCCACCATCCCTGGCAGTTGTAGGTAGGTGGTTTCCACCAGTCAACCATTGGTTTAGGTCTGATGCTGTGAACAGCAGCCAGCAGCTCAGAATCCAGGGGATGTGTTCTTCTACTCTATCAACTCAGGAGACACAGCAGAAGAGCCCTTGCAGGCGCTGTGAATACTTTCCCCCCATGAGTGGCATTGTGGCCTTTCTTTCTGTCCCAGTTTTAGAGTCTAGGTTGCCACTTCTGTCTGCTCTCAGGCCCTTTCAATTACTTTCTCCATTTTCTAGAAGGAAGAAAAGTAACAGTGTTGATCCACAGAAAAAAATGGGAACCCCATAACTGGGTTTATAGGTAGTCCTCGCTTAACAACCATTCGTTCAGCGACTCTTCAAAGTTATGAACATGCTGAAAAAAGTGACTTACAACTGGTGCCTGAAGTTACAGCTTCCTGTAGTCCCCTGTGGTCATGTGATCAAAATTTGAGTGCCTAGCCCACACTTATGACTGCAGGGGCACTGTAACTCCCCCCACCTGCCTATCTCCTCCCCATCTCTGCCCTTTCGGCCGCCCTGCACCCTGCCTTGCAGGGCTGCTTGCCACATCCCAGGAAGCTGTAGCCACCCCAGCCCAGTCCCAGCCGCAATTGCCCTCGCCGCCCTGCATTTGGAGACCCCTGCTGCCCTGTACTCCACCACCCCAGCTCACCTTGCCATCTTCTTGCTCCTGCTGGTGATGAGGTATGCCCGGCCTGGCCCTTCACACTGAGAAGCCCCTTGCACGAAGCTGACAAAAGCAAACCTTTGCAGGCAGTTTCTTGCAAAGCGACTTCATGCAAAGGGATGCGCAGCTTGGGGAAGGAACGAGAGGTGTGGCTTGGAGAATGGCATGAGGCGGCAAAGGCCAGTGGTGTGGGGCTTGAGGCAGCATTTCTCAGTGGCAGCAGCACTGGGGCTGAGGTCAAGGCCTGGGGGCAGTGGAAGCTGGCTGAGGCCTTGGGCCTTTACTTCAGCCCCAACCCCAGCAGTACCACTGCCGAGTGCCACTGTGCAGGGGGGCCAAAAGGGCATAGATCGGAGGGGGAGATAGGTGGCTGGGGGAGTTGCAGCATCCCTGTAATCATAAGCACTGCTGAGTCGGGCTGGGGCAGCTTAGGCTTCCAGGGGTGGCTGAGGCTTTGCGCCACCCTGCAGCACCCCCCCCAACTTGTGTGTGGCCTGTGCTGGGCCTCCCAGGACCTCCCCCACCCACCTGAGGCACCCCTGCGCTCCTTACTTGGAACTCCGTCTGCTTAACAACCTGTGATTCTCACTTAATGAGAGCAGCCAGGAGTGCCAAGATTGCAGTCCCTAAATGAAGTGGTCACATAATAATTTGCTTAATGACTGCATCACTTAGTGACCTAAATTCTGGCCCCAATTGTGGTCGTTAAGTGAGGACTACCTGTATTAGGCTGAGTCAGAATGATACAAACAAAAGAGCAGGGTGATCTGAAAGGTAGAGGATGAGGAAGTAGCAAAGACCTCTGGACTGAGCCCTGGGTTCTCTGGGGACACATAAGCGTTCATTTTCTGGGGGAGCTCCTCACCTGTGCACAAGGGCCATTCTGCCTCCTCTTCCTCGTGGTCGAGTCTGATAGATGCTGGGGCTCTGAAGCCCTTCCAGAGTTGCTCACTCTTGCACAAAGGTCTCAGTTCTACACCTAGTTTCCTTTGAAATGTGTAGAACTTTAAGATCTCTCTTAAAGGATCTGTTCATTTGGCAACTTTCAAATATTGCAAGACAAGAGCCTTTGGTTGCCAGCCTTCTGTGGGTAAACACACACACACACACACACACACCACTGCAGTTTGTAAGTCCTGGTTGCACACTCCCAGAGACCGAGTGGCGGAGGCAAAAGGCATCCAAGAGAGGAGAGGATGAGGACGAGGACTCAGAAGAAATGAAAACTCTCCGTGAGCTGCAGGAGCAAGAGCTGAGCAAGGTAGTGGTAGCGGGGAGCACTGTAGGTGGGGGAGGGGGAGGAGGAGGGTCAGTTTAGGGCTCCTTTCAGCCCTCTTTCCTTTCACTGTCTCAGGTTGCCTCCAATCTGGGCAAACTCATTCTGAAGGAGGAGATGGAGAAATCTCTCCCAATCCGGAGGAAAACCCGCTCCCTTCCAGATCGAACTCCCTTCCATACCTGTGAGTGATCACTGCATAGAATCCTAGAATGTAACATGCGGGTTGGAAGGGACTTTGGAGACTGTCTAACCCACCCCCTGATCGAGCAGGAATCTGCACCCCCGGATGGCTCTCAAGACTGTTGAAACAGCTCTAACAAAGAAGAATGCCCCATCCATTGTGGAACAGCTCGTGCTGTTGGGACATTCATCCTGATGTCCAGCTGAAACCTGCTTTCTTGTGAGGAAAACCCATAGTTTCTTGTCCTGTCTTCTGGATTACCACAGAACAAACCCACTCCATATGGTAGCCTTTCAGATACTTGAGTGCCACGGCCATGTCTCCTTGTACTCTTCTTCTCCAGGCGAAACATACCCAGAGCTTTTCCTTTCAGGCCCCTTATCATATTGCTACTCTCTTCTGGAAATGTTCCAGTTTGCCAAAATTCTTCCTAAAATGCAGTCCCCAGAGCTAGATGCAGTAGTGTAGATGCAGCATGACCAGTGCAGCTAGAGAACAGTGGCTTCTGTTAATGTGGCCTAGCATGGCCTTTCCTTTTCATGCAGCTGCATTGCAGGTCACCCTGAGTACAAGGATTGCCTTTTCATTGGACCAGAGAAGGTCAAGGGGCAAGTTCCTGGGGGGTGGGGCTGCCTCTTGGCATTAATGCTGATGGCCTACCATTGGGGGGCACTCCTGTTTTTAAAGGGTGGTTGCTGCTGCTACAGCTGCCGCCACCATGAATTGACATTTCAGTGGTGACCGTTCTTGGCCTTTGCCATGACTGAAGGAACCAGCCCTGCCTTCCGGTTGATTTGATGGAAGGAATCTAAACCAGAACTGTGAGAGTACCAGAAGTGGGTCTAAATGCTGATGTGTTTGGGCTTGTAGGAACCTTTAATCACAATTCTTGCCACTAGTATTTGGGCCTTTCCCACTTCTGCTGCTCCTTATGAGAAAGAATAAGTCAAGCAGCTGGTCTCTGCTCTCCGTGTGCGCAGCTAATGGATGTGGGGTAAAGTCCATCTGCTGCTTGGGCCCCCCAGGCCAGATCTCCTTGCCTGTCACAGGAGAGGGTGCTCCTGCTCCACACCCATCACCAGCCCACCCGCTGGGGCAGCTTGCCCTGAAGTGACCACGCTTCTTCTCTTCCAGCTTTGCATGGAGGAAGCTCAAAATCAGCATCCCTTCCTGCCTCTGGGAGAAGTACGCTTGCCAGGGTAAGGAGACAGCCTCAGGACATTGGGGGGTGCGGGGCACGTGGAAGGCTGAAATGCAAGCAGTCCAGTGGGGAAGATGTGCAGGTGAGTTGAGGAGGGTTTCCTTGCATTTATGTTTGTGGATTTCCACTTCCAAATAGGTTCTTGCTCTTGGTTGTCCAGAGACGGATGGATGGATGGATGGATGGATGGAGGGAGGGAGGGAGGGAGGGAGGGAAGGAAGGAAGGAAGGAAGGAAGGAAGGAAGGA